TTACACGGTTGGTGGGAGTATAAATTAGTTCAGCCATTGTGGAAGACACTGGTGATTCCTCAAGGACCTAGAAATAGAAATTCCATTTGACCCAGCAATCCCATTACTAGGTATATATCCAAAGGATTATAAATCATTCTATTATAAAGATACATGCACACGTATGTTCATAGCAGCACTGTTTACAATAGCGAAGACCTGGAACCAACCCAAATGCCCATCAATGATAGACTGGACAGGGAAAATGTGGCACATGTCACCATGGAATACTATGCAACCATTAAAAAGGATAAATTTGTGTCCTTTGTAGGGACATGGATGAATCTGGAAACCATAATTCTCATCAAACTGACACAAGAACAGAAAACCAAACACTACATGTTCTCACTCATAGGCGGGTGTTGAACAATGAGAATTCATGGGCACCAGGAGGGGAGCATCACACACTGGGGTCTGTTGCGGGGGAAAAAGGAGGGACAGCATAGGGGTAGGGAGGCTGGGGAGGGATAAGGAGGAGAAATGCCAAATATAGGTGACGGGGGGATGGAGACAGCAAACTGCATTGCCATGTATGTACCTATGCAACAATCCTGCATGTTTTGCACATGTACCCCAGAACCTAAAGTGCAATAAAAAATATATAAATATAAATAAATAAATAAATCATAGTAGTTAAGAATACACACAGCATGTGCTGTGTGTATCAAGTGAAGATAAACTTTACAGGTCAGTGGACTGTTGTGATCTCTAAGGATGCCTGCTCTTTGTCAGTTCTGTGCAGTACTTGTTGGGGAGGGTGGGATATCTCACAATTAGCTTCTGGAGTTCAACTACAGGTGTTCTAAGAAAGGGTTAGTTGGCCAGGTGTGGTGGCTCACACCTGTAATCCTAGCACTTTGGGAGGCCGAGGCTGATGCAGGAGAATTGCTTGAATCCAGGAGGTGGAGGTTGTGGTGAGCTGAGATGGTGCCACTGCACTCTAGCCTGGGTGACAGAGTGAGACCCTGCTTAAAAAAATAATAATAAGAAGAAAGGATTAGTTTGTGCATCAGTCCTAGACCTTGACACATTCATGTGAGTTAGTTTTATAGCTTTCTGTCCTCGATGCTTCTTTCTCAACTATTAGTCCAGGCAGGCATGCGCTAAAATTACCTTTCTAAATGTTATCAAGCAAAGATTTGCTGGTTAGATTTTGCCCAACAAAAAATGTCTAGGAGTGGGTCTAAAACTGCTGCTGGCTGATGTTCTGTTCTTAGGAAATGGAAAGCTAGGAATAGAAGGATCTGTGTTAGTAGTTCTCAAACTTCAGTGTGCAAAAGAATCACCCAGAGAGCTAGGTTAAAGGGCAGATTAATGGACCCCAGATTCTTCTGGTGTAGTCAGTCTGAACTGAGATTTAATAAAACAAGCATGGCATGATAATAATGCAGGTGGTCTACAGTCTAACTCTGAGACACATTGTATTGTTATATCCTGTCCTCTGTCATTTGCTGAGATGCTCCTTTACCTCTTTTGACTGAAAATCACAGCCACTCTTCTGGTTACATAGAACAACTTACTGTGACAAAGAAAAGGATGAACTTTATCTTCTAGGCTTTGAAAATGGTAAATGCACAGTCTTTTGTGTGTGCCTTCGAGACACTTGAAAGTCACTTTGTGGCAACTACACAGAGACAGAACAAACTTAGGGATGCCTCTCCCCGTTTCATCTCACAACGCCTCTCTCGGGACTCTTTGTCTCACCCAGGCACCTCAAGGTTTTGGTGAAATAAAGCAGCTCTTTTTTCTCAAAAACATTGTTAACCCTAGTCCAAAGGTTTAAAAGCTAGGATATCTGGGTTTTTTTTTGTTTTTGTTTTGTTTTGTTTTGTTTTTTTCTTAATACCGACCTGGTTAGCTAAGCTTTCTAAAATCTCTTCCTTCATCTTTGTGAACTCAAATAGCTCATGCACAAAAGCCTGTGGATTTCCTTCGATGAGAACTGAAATATTGTTCCCTTTATGCTAATGTTAATTTTCAGGCAGTGAGCTTGGTTAACTAGGAGAAAATAAAAACTTTAGATGGAGAGCATTATTTATAGTGAATGCAAAACTTCATTATTATCAATTCTTTTTACAAAATACACAGAAAAAGTATCTTTTTGTTATTTAAATATGGCATGGCTACATTGAGAAATAGTACAGATGTTATTCCACAGCCTCTCAGCTGCATCCTGAGTAATCATTATTATGTTTTATTCTTATTTGGAATTACTAGTAATAGAGTCTATATTTCTGTATGAAATTCAAATCAGGGAACACCAATGAATTGAGATGATTGATATTATATACACACACACATAATTTTGGAATTGGGAAAACAATGGAAATATTTCTCTCTTAGAGAAAAACCACCAAACTTGCTTCTATGCGAATGATCTTGATGAATAACATTTTTTATTTACCTCGATGTGCCCAAAATTCACTTAATTCTTTACCATTGAAATGAGCTAAGATTTGATCAATACCTAAATTTGTTTTGAAAATATCTGTGTAATTATTAAAAATCTGAAATTAAACTGTCTGGATTTTGAAATATCCAACTTTAAACACAAGTATTTTTTTTAAAAAGTACTTGTCTGTTTACTTTTTTTAATGATTTTATTTTGTGTGCTTTCATAAATTTTTTTTTTTTTTTTGGTTTCTTAAACTTCTTATTGATGTGGTGGTATTTTGTGCATGGAATAAGGAGAGACAGTAGTAGTGGTAATATATTTCATGACATCTTTGAATGCAAATTATATGTGTAAGTACATGCATGTTTATGGGAAAATATTCCTGGCTGTTTTCTTTTTCTTTGTTATTGCTTTATTTTGTTTTCGTTAGAGATAGTGTCTTGCTCTGTCATCCAGGCTGGAGTGTGGTGGCAATGATCATGACTAACTACAGCCTTGATTTCCCAGGCTCAAGCTATCCTCCCACCTCAGCCTCCTGAGTAGCTGGGACTATAGGCACCCAACCAAGCCTGGCTAATTTTTTAAATTTTTGGTAGACATGGGGTTTCCCTGTGTTGCCCAGGTTTGTCTTGAACCCCTGGGTTCAAGCAGTCCTCCATGCCTCAGCCTCTCAGAGTGCTGGGATTAGAGGCATGAGCCACTGTGCCCAGCTTGTTTTCCCATTTTAATCTCATATAGAATCACTGGCCTAGTCCAATCTTACTGATTTTTAGATGACACATTTGAGACATACAAAGACTAGGTGATTTTCCAGAGGTCCTGGAGTTAGTATTTGACGCAAGGCATTGAAACTCAGTCCGTGGTCTTTCTGAATCCTCATCCTTCTCTTTCTTGCAACAAGAGCATGGGCTGTCTTCATTCCCCTATAATAAGACAGAATTCTGTTTGGTCATTTTGTCTTCTTAGTTTTCTTGTATTTCAACCTTAGCATGAAGGTTTTTTTTTTTTTTTCTTTATGTCTGAGTTAAATGCCTTAGAAATTATTTTGCCAGGCTTCACCTAGATCCCCAAACTAGCTTTATTCTTTTTTCTCTGTACTGATGCACCTGAATGAATTCAGTCTCATCCTGTCACCTATCAACAAAAATCTGGTTATCAAGGTTTTCCAGGATAGCAGTTGCAATTTTTGCCCTTCAAAATAATCACATATAAGTTGATGTGGACTGTCAGCTGCTGAGTGATATTTAATGTAACTTTACATCATAGCCTCTGGTGATTCTACCTCACAACTCATCAAGCGGTACCTAAGTAAGCTAATTGAATACATTAAAAATTGAAAAAAATACTTTTAAATAAAACAAATTCTTATTGATTACCCTGTGTGTATATATACCACTGTACTTGGTACCACAAGAGATACAAAAAATAGGTATAATACAGCAAGCTGTCAAAGAGCTTATAATCTAGACAAGGGAAAAGAAAGTGTACTTTCTATCAAATGCACTTAGTACAAAAAGATAAATGTTTTGGGAAATATAATTTTTAAATTAAGAGGTTAAAGGAAAAAGGTGAGGGTCTAGAAGAGTCTTCTAGGAAAAAGAATTTGAACTTGACTTTGAAAAATGAAAATCACTTTCATGGGCATAAGTGGTGAGGTGCATTTTGAACAATATGGTATTACACTGTAGTCTAGAAGCATATGTACTCTACACTGCCACTTAAGATATGGTTTGTGGATCATTCTTGTCTTTGAACTTTGCTACTGCTCCATGGCAAAGTAAGTCTCATGCATCCAGTTTCTCTTGTTGAGAGAAAGCACTTAGAAATGCATGGCTGTTTGACATGGCTTCACCATCCAAGCACATAATCAGTGGACTCAAATCACTGCACCTGTTATAGACCAGTTTGGGTGTTGCTGAGTCATGTGTGGTACCAGCTATGTGATATTTATGCAAGGTAGACCATATATGGCTTCATGAGACATTGGGAAAACAAAGAACCTAGTTCTTCACTGCAGATAATTTCAGAATAAAGACTGTAGGTTTTTCTCTATTTGCCTACATAGTCATTTTAAGAAACTGTGGTGTATGTTACACCACAGAGCTATTACTCATTATTGACTTATTTACCATACCATCTTTGCTTCTTTCTCATTATGTCATCTCATTACAGCACAGAAAAAAATGTTAGCTTTATGACACTAGACAGCCATCCACAATGCAGCAGCACAAAAGGGATACAGGACATACAAAGTAAAGGGGCAGACTAAAGACAGGCAGAACAATACATAGAGGAGAGAAAGGGAGACATCCAGCAGCCTGTACATGGAAGTCATTTGTAAAATATGTGACCGATGTGAAATAAGAGAGCACATATTTTCACTTCATTCTAATCCATAGATTAACTTTGAATGGGATTTTTTTTTCCAGAAGCTGACACAGAGCCTGTTATGCCTCACTATTTTTTGTTAATTTATTTCTATTATTTTCTTTATGTTGTTGTTTCCTGTTGTTGTTCCTATTTGGAAGGTATTCTTCATTTCGCACGGTTTCTCTTCTTGTTTCAGATGATTCCACACTGCATGGCCCGATTTTTATTCAAGAACCAAGTCCTGTAATGTTCCCTTTGGATTCTGAGGAGAAAAAAGTGAAGCTCAATTGTGAAGTTAAAGGAAATCCAAAACCTCATATCAGGTTTGTTGATTTAAAAGCATGTGTTTCCATGCATATAGTTTCTGTTATTAAAATCAACAAATACTTATACAGTGCTGGCTACCTAAAGAACATTAATTAATTAATTAATTAATTAATCTTTATTTATTTATTTAGAGATGAAGTCTTGCTCTTTCAGTTGCCCAGCCAGCAGTGTAGTGTGCAACCTCTGCTAACTGCAACCTCTACCTCCCAGGTTCAAGTGATTCTCTTGCCTCAGCCTCCTGAGTAGCTGGGATTACAGGCATGGGCCACCATGTGCAGCCATCTTCTATGGCAAAATTCCTTCTCTACTAAAAATACAAAAATTAACTGCACATGGTGGTGCATGCTCGTAATCCCCAGCTACTGTTCACCAGGCTGGTCTCCTGACCTCAAGAGATTTACTCGCCTCACTCTCCCAAAGTGTTGGGATTATAAGCACGAGCCACTGCGCCGGGCTGTATTTTTATTTTTTGAGACAGGGTCTCCTCTGTCACCCAGGTTGGAGTGCAGTGGCTCAATCTCAGCTCACTACAACCTCTGCCTCCTGAGTTCAAAGGATTCTTGCACCTTGGCCTCCAGAGTATCTGAGATTATAGGCACATGCCAGCTAATTTTGATATTTTCAGTAGAGATGGGGTTTCACCATGTTGGCCAAACTGATCTTGAATTCCTGACCTCAAGTGATTTGCCTGTCCTGGCCTCCCAAAGTGCTGAGATTATAGGCATGAGCTACCATGCCCAGCCCATAAAGAGCTTTTAGACAGGCATTAGAGAATATTCTGAAAGTCTAAGGAGATGATTGTTTCATGAAAAGTTAAGTATCCAACCTCTGTTTTTTGTAGTACTGGGAATTAAATATCCTGATTGACTTCCTTGTTGAAAACATTAACAATTCATTACCACTTATATTTAACTAAAAAACCACATTTTAAACTATATTAGTATACTGGCAGCAAAGTGAGAAATGTCAGAAGTCCAAAAGTAAGTGGCTTTCGAACCCAAGAAGTAAGCTGAATATTAAAGGCAATTTTCATGTTAATAAACTTCAAATATGAATTGAGCTTTGGTTTCCATGGCCTCAAAAGAACAAAGATCACAAGACAAAGCCTAGACAACCCACAGGAGAATCCAACATGAGAACATCTCCCAGACTAAATCTGGGATACGAGGGCTACATCTTTAGAGTAAATGTGAACAAGAAATAAGCTTGACTTCCAAAGAGACTGTAAAGCACAGGTAATTTTGTATTTCAAACATTAAACCCTAGTGGTTCGAGTAGCAGATGAGATATAACTGAAAAGAGAGTCTGGAAGCTGCAAGATAGGTCTGAAGAAATCCTCCAGAGGCAGCAGAAAGAGACAAGGGGAAGAAGAGCACTTTAAAAAGAAAGAGAAAAAATATCTAATCAGGATTCCAGAAGAAACAACAAGAAAGACTGAGGCACAAGCATTATGTAAAGAGCAAGCTAAGAATGTTCCAAACTAATTAAAACTTTCAAACTATAGCTCCAGGAAGCCCCATGCACTTCAAGCAGTATAAATAAAAATGAAGTCACGTCTAGAATAGTGAAATAGTAGAACACCAAGTCAAACAGATGATCATAAAAGTAGCCAAAGTTGTAATACAGATAACATTCGAAGAGATCTGGCAGCTCACTTCTCAATAGCAACAAAACAGCAGGAGACAGAAGAAAGAATCTTCAGTATACTGAGAGAAACTGTCAAATTTATAGATATAGCCTAAATACTTTTTTAAAAGGAAAACAAAATACATTCATTTTTAGGCAGACAGCAACCAAAGTCTGACTCCAGCAGACCTTCAAGTACGTCTCAAGTACTAAGAGACGTACTTGAGGCAGCATAAAAAAATGATTCCAGATAGACGAGGTGAGCTACAAGAGTAAATGATAAGTAAAGCAAATGGTAAATGTTAGTAATTCCACAAAAAAATTTATTGCACAGAACAATAAAAAGAATACTATCTTGTGAAGATTAAAAAAAGAAAAGTTAAAATTCATGACATTAGAATCAAATTTTTAAAAGATGTACTAGACAATGGATTGTCTATATGTTTAAATAAACAAAATTTGACCCCAACTGCACAGCATATATAAAAATCAATTCCAAGTGTATAAAAGACCTAACTGGGAAATTTGCAATACTTTTAAAAGCAAATAGGTATACATATTTATGAGTTTGGAGAAGGAAGATATTTCCTAAATATGACAGAAAAAGTACAACTTATAAAAGAAAATACTGTATTAATATTTACTTATGTTCAGTAGAAGATACTGAAATAAGCAAAATTACAAACTTTAAACTTGAAGAAGATTTTTAAATATACTTGTTATTGAGGAGGGATTAATACCCAGACCATTTAAAGAATTTTCACAAACTGAATGTAGAAAACAACCCAGCTGAAACATTAGCGAAACACTTCAACAAGTACTTCTAAGAAAATGAAAACCAAAAATTCAGTAAAAATAAAAAGATTGCCAATATCATGAGTGAACAGAAATATATAATTAAAACTGCAACAACATACTCTTTCAAAACTACCAGATTCACAAATTTAAAAGACTGACAGTTTGTTGATGAAGATGTAGAGCAAAAAGAACCCTTGATTGAACACTGCTGGTAGCAATGTAAATTGGTAAAATAGACTGTAAAAAAACAAAACAAACAACAACAACAACAAAAAAAAAAAAAACAAGCACTCCTTAGTAAAGCTAAAGATGCATATACTCTATGATCCAGTGTACATAATAATGTTCATAGCATATTCACAAATACACATAACCTGGTATGTTCATACAAGGTAACCTCCTGCAGTAGTAAAAATGAACGAGTGACAGCTGCAACAACATGGGTGAATCTCAACAACATAATTTGGAGTAAACCAGTTCACAGCCATATACATAATGTATAATTTCATAATGATAAAGTTTGAAAGTGGTTGAGATGGAGTGATTGTTCAAGATATAGAGGAAGCAAAACTTTACCTCTCCTCTCTTAGGATTTTTCAGCTGATCCTGAGAATTAAATTTACATAGAGCAGATCGAAAGGATAAAACCATACTAATTTATTTAATACAAGTTTTACGTGGCAAGGAATCCATCATAAGAAAATGAAAACCCAGAAACGCAGTTCTCACTGCACATTTATATACTGAATTGGACAAAGAGTAATAAATTGTGAAAATAACTAAGTTATGTGGGGAGCTAGAAGAAAATATCTGAACAAGGTCTAGACAAAGTTTCCTCTATCTCAACTTCCTGTCCTTGATGATAAGAATGTTACTTTCCTTCTAAAATAGAAAGGGCGTCTCTGGCATGGGGATTTCATTTCTTGCCTTTTAGAAAAAGAATGAAGGTGAAAGTGGCAGTCTTGTACCTGCTGTTTTCCAAGTGCCTTTAGTCAATATAGTCTGAGCACAGTGGCTCACACCTGTAATCCCAACACTTTGGGAGGCCGAGGGAGGAGAATGGCTTGAGGCCAGGAGTTAGAGATCAATCTGGGCAACATAGTGAGACCCCCCTATCTCTACAAAAATAATTTAAAAATTAGTCGGGCATGATGGTGCACACCTGTAGTCGTAGCTACTTAGGAGGCTGAAGGGGGAAGATAGCTTGAGTCCAGGAGTTCTAGGCTGCAGTGGGCTGTGATTGCACTACGTTCTATCTTGGGTGACAGACCACAAGATCCAGTCTCTAAAAAAATAAATAAATAAAAGTCAATATGCCAGAGCAGCATATTTTGGGGTGTTATACTCTGAAAGCTTTCAAAGGATAATAACATACATGATAAAATTACAAAGAATATCACAGGAATGAAAAGCCAAAATTAAAGATTATAATTAACCATTAAGAGGGGGTGGTTATAATCAAAGTAGATACAGCAGACTTCTAAAGTGATAATATCCCTTTTAAACACAGATTTTCATTGCCTTGTGATTTTTTATAACTTACATACATCTCATAAATATTATGCCTCTATTTAAATTTGATAATTGAAAACTTGAGGCTAACAACCAATAGCTAATGTTATGTGTAAAAACCAAAGAAATATATATGTTATAGTTTAGGAGAGATTGCAGTCATCAAGTAGGGAGAAATGGGATTTGAACTGAGATCAGTAATTTTCAAATAGGCAGAGGGTAAAGAACATTCAGTGCAAGTTAAAGGATGGCAATATTCGTACAGTGGATATTATTTTAGAATTTACTTTATGTGCTCACTTTCCCATTCATTCATTTATCAAATATATTCATTATTCATCATTCATACCTCACCAGTGTTTTTCAAACTGAATTCCAGGGCACATGGGATTGGCTTAAAGATTACCAGAGATAGAAAAATAACAGAAATTCCATCCAAGATTCAACCTTCGTAGCTCTTCTTTGAACTAGGTCATATATTAGGGTTCCGAAGAATATGTCATCTAGACAAAGTATTTAAACTTCTATATTAAGCAGCTGCAATGCACCATGCTAGGTCTGAGTATTCAAAGGTTAATCAACTCTACAACATGTTCTACTAGTACTGTTAATTTGAGGACTGCCTAGATGTGGACGTAGTTGGAGTACTATGATGTAAATGCAAGTAAAAAATGACCAACTTCTAGGGTGCCCTGGAGGAAAGAAAGTCTAATTCAGAATGGGGAGGGCAAATGTCACTGAAGCCTTCATAGAAAAGGAGGTATTTTCATCTATTTGGAGGGCGAATGGTTTCTCATCACATGGATAAGGAAAATAAGTACATTCCAGAAAGTAAGAAAACAATAACTCTCTAATGGACCTTATAATTAGGATGAACATATAATTTATCATCTAAGGGCACTTTTTAAAGTGGAAGGCCGCTGTTCATAATTATTCTAGGACAGCAGGTGTAAACCCAGCAATGTCTTAAGCAAGCCAGAATGAATAGTTATTCCCTAGAATATATTAAGCCCAAGGCTAAATCAAAGATTTTTAAATACTTTATGCAGTAAAGAATGCAGGAAGCAAATGCTCTTAGATACATAAATGATGAGTTAACTGGTCCCTGTTTTCCTTACATAGCCAAGTGTAAGTTCAGATGTTAGCCATAACTGAAAACAAATTTTGCAGCAGAATTTGGCAAGTTGCTGCTTTGTTTTTCCCCAAACTGTGACCTTTAATTAACACTGCTTTTGTAACATTGTGTTTCTAGATAAAGGAGCTTGCCTTGTTATTTAAAACAAGCAGTGAAACAGAAACCTATTATGTTTTTAGATTGCCAAGAAACACTGAGAACAAAACTTTTTAATCAAATGCACTAGCAATTTATTGCACTGTACTTCTTGCCTTTAAACCTTTGGCAGTTTCTCTGTAACAATAAGAGGGGTACTTGGGAGCTAAAAAATTCCTCTTGTTGAAAGAAAGCGCAAGAGGAAGAATGGAGAGATCAGGTATTTTCAGACACCTTTCTGGCTGAACTTTTTCATTCTTCAGGCTGACTTTCAGGGGGAAGAACAAGTAGGAGAAATTCCAAAGCGAGTCTCCATGGGGATTTTCAGCACTAGGTTTTCTCCTCAGACACTGCAACTGACCTCTCTTCTTTGTGTTTATTCCCTCAACCGAGCGTTCTCTTTTGTTTCCTGACCCTCAATTTTGAAAGGATTGACCCAGACCCAAAAAATTTAAGAAGTTTTAACTTGTGCCAACTTCCCTTGTATTAAACTTCCCTAAGGACATGTGACATTACTTAATGCACTCAGCATCCCTTTCCAGTTAAAGAAATGTTCACTTACTTGGTTGGAGTACTTTTGCTGTGAGCTTTGCAGAAAACAAATCCCAAGTCATAAATGTCCTTCCTTTCCCTTAGTGCCAAGTTGAAACCATCAACAAAGAAACAGGATTTTGCTACACGAATCCTATAGATACCTTCCCAGCAAAGTCACAACATTTTACCCTCCAGAGCTTCAGTGTCTGGTTGTGCACAACTCCACTCTCTGGAGAGAGCAGAGTCGTGGTTCCTTAAGTGATTCAGAAATCAGGTTATGAGACTCACAAATTTCTCTTGTCCCTTGGGAAAATCTGTTTGCTCCAAATGAGCATTGCCTTTATATTACCAACACTTAAAAGATTCCTCAAACATTGAAAATAAATTGTGAATTTTTTAAGAGTGTTTCAGTAAACAATGAGATAAGAAATTCAGTGCAATCCACATTCAATTGGAATGAACAGTGACTGCACTGCAGTAAAACTTGGTATAGTGCTTCATAATAGAGACTCAACTGCATTTCAGAGAAAGCACTTTATTTTCTAAATAATCCCTTTTCCTTTGCTATTTGTATGTAAAAGCAGGCGATAAAGTAGATTAATGGACTTTCTGCACAGCATTTTGGTTGAGATGACTAGTGTAGACAAACCTACAGAGGAGCTCTCATTATGCCCATAACCACTTTTCTAAAAAGACTCGCATGGTCCTACTCCTAAATTCCACACTCTGCTTGCAGCTCACATTATATTGCAATTTCCTCTTTGAGTTCTTAGATTTGTCATATTAAATTGCTCTACTATCATTTGAAGTAAGAGTTATGGCCAAGACGTGATCAGCTGACTCAAAAAAAAAAAAATATCTGGGCAGACAGTCAGTTCTAAAGATTCATGTGCGTATAGAGCTGCTGGAATATAACCTGGCTCTTCTGTTTTTATTGCTTATTTCTTTCTTGTCTGTGTCAGAGCACAGAGAATTACTGTAGAGATTAAAACATTGTCAGTTTCTAATCCCAATCTTCTTATACGCAAACACATAAAGTTACCTTATATTTCTATTTCATGTTCCTGGCCTTTCTTACCTCTCTTGCTTCTAAATTTTTACATTTCAAAGACATGAATAAACATATGTTGCTGTGTGGTAGTGTGCTGGAATGCTTCATAAATTGTGGATTCAAAGCTAAAATATCTAGCAAATAAGTAAAATATTTAGTCAATTAAATTCAACAGGCAGTTATGGAGCACAATGAGAATGTTAGATTTTAGATGGCTAAAGTGAGAATACAAAGGTGATTTAGGCAAATTAACTACAGCGAACTCGGAATTCCTATGTAAAGGAGCATGGAGAATTCTGTAGAAGATTGGGCAAAGCTTTTGGTTCATTTTTGTTGTTTTTGTTTTGAGGTGAGATCTCGCTCTGTTGTCCAAGCTGTAGTGCAGTTGCAGTGGTGTGGTCTTGGCTCACTGCAGCCTTAATCTCCCAGTCTCAAGTGATCCTCCCACCTCAGTTTCCCGGGTAGTTGGGACTACAAGCAGACATGCACCACCACACCAGGCTAAATTTTGTATTGTTTGTGAAGACAGGGTTCTGCCATGTTGCCCAAGCTAGTCTCAAACTCTTGGGCTCAAGAGACCTGTCTGCTTTAGTCTTCCAAAGTGCTGAGATTACAGGCATGTGCCACCACACTGAGTCATCTTTGGTTAATTTTGACTAGAAATACCAAGGAAGACTTCATTGGAAGAGGTGTCATTGAAAATTGGCTTTGAGGCCGGGCGCAGTAGCTCATGCCTGTAATCCCACCACTTTGGGAGGCCGAGGCAGGTGGGTCACGAGGTCAAGAGATCAAGACCATCCTGGCCAACATGGTGAAACCCCGTTTCTACTAAAAAATACAAAAATTAGCTGGGCGTGGTGGCGCACGCCTCTAGTCCAGCTACACGGGAGGTTGAGGCAGAAGAATTGCTTGAACCCGGGAGGCGGAAGTTGCAGTGAGCCGAGATCGCGCAACTGCACTCCAACCTGGCGACAGAGCGAGACTCCATCTCAAAAAAAAAAAAAAAGAAAAGAAAAGAAAAGAAAATTAGCTTTGAAGTGGGACAGAGGTCTTGACATAAAGAATGGATTACACTTCTATATATTTGCCTCTGTTGATGCCAGACTTCCAAAATCTTGAAATTTCAACTCACTACATTTTTTAAATTTAAATCCTTTTATATTATATACAGACAACCATAGTACCCAGAAAGTTGTAAAATGATACACAATGAATGTGCATGTGCACACACACAAATATTTAAATGGTAATTCTTACTATTTAAGGAAGATAAGATTAATGGCTCTCATTCTTTACTCCCATTATGGATTTGGATCAGTTTTCTTTGTGCTGCTGTATTTCATTAATTTTTAACATTCCGGTGTGAATGCTATTGTGATACTGTTAGTAATTCCCAAACTCCTACTATGGGAGTAAAAAAACTCTCCTATTATGGGAGTAAAAAAATAAGATAGTCACTGAGTTGTATTACTGCAAAAAATTCCTCAGTATTTAAATTACTTCTGAAAGGAGATTTGGTCAAGATAACCTGTCAGTCTTTGGAATTTCATTGGTTGTAAAATGAAACAAAAACAAAACATAGACCTTATTACCAAAACTTTGCTGTTAAAATGTGTGAGTCCCACTAAATGTAGTTTACTGGGCTAAGTACTCTAGTCACATACATAGGTGATCCACATAAATAAGCAGAAGGACAAAAAAACAAAAAACAAAAAACCCTCTCTGCCTCGATTATCTAATGGCCCAATCTGCAGTTTGCTGGGATGGTTGATTGGTGCTTGTGTACCAATGGTGAAGATCTTCAAAGTGATCCACACTTAGGGCAGGTTTGGTCCACACGGCAGCTCAAGATCATTAGAGTTCCTCTGCTTTGCAGTCAACCATTGCAGTCATATTAAGGACCAAATCGAAGCAACTCTGCTGCAATTTCATCAGATATTCAGCAATCTACCTGGAAATAGTATACGCTGTCATCTGTATAGACCTATTTAAAGAATGACTCCAAACTAGAAGGACTTTTATTGAGGAGCCCAATTTGAAGAAAGTTATACAAGGTGCTATGGAAATCTGTGCCCCCCCACCCCACCTAAAAAAAGTGAAGCGTTTGTAGCATTGTAAGTAGTGATAAAAACAGTTGTTAAAATTTTAATATCATTGTTTACTTTAAAAGACATGGTCTTTCCATAGGCACTTAAGATACTACTGTTGCTGGGTAGAGCATTTCTAACTTTTTAATCGTGCTTTTTTAAAAAAGTCACAAATGATTTTTTATGCTATTTATAGTTTTTATATATTTTAGACAATTCGGAAATATCGATTAATATGACAAGAGTTTATCTACTGGCGTTTTTATACTATAGGTGGAAGTTAAATGGAACAGATGTTGACATTGGTATGGATTTCCGCTACAGTGTTGTTGAAGGCAGCTTGTTGATCAATAACCCCAATAAAACCCAAGATGCTGGAACGTACCAGTGCACAGCAACAAACTCGTTTGGAACAATTGTTAGCAGGGAAGCAAAGCTTCAGTTTGCTTGTAAGTAGCAATTATATAATGCTGCATATGTTACTTTGGGTTTGTGTACTATTATACCAAAAAGCTTTTATAGCAGTTTCATTTTAGAAACTAGATTTAAATTTGTTAGATGATCTTTACTCTTTTTCACATTTTAGAAATAATTTTATTTGTAGGATAAACTGTAAACCTAAGTGAGAATAGGTATTCTTCTACTTTCATAAGGATTGAGATACTTTGATTATATGGCAATTTGACTATATGATGCTTGTTTTATGTACAAATAAATTCACACACTGAGACTGACACATGTATAAATTTATGTAAACAACAGATTTACACACACACACATTTTAAATAGCAATTGAACTGCCAGTAATTTAGTAGTCAATAAGAGAAGTACTTTAACCATAAAGGTCAGAGTTGGAAAAAAAAAAAAAAAAAAAAAAAAAAAACCTCAATTAATCCTATAATTCTCTAACTGTTTCTTATTTCACAGAGTAGAAAAATTATAAACCAACTGCAATAATGGCAAAAAATGGGGACAAATTGTTACCCACCTTTGCTATTTCTGGTTCAGAATATTTAAAAAATAAACATCTCTTAAGACTACCATTTAACAAAAGTCCATGAATATATGAAAGTGAAACTTAGAAACCACAATTTGAAAATAAAATCCATAGAAAAGAGCAGTTAGCATACATTTGAGTATAGTCACCTTTGAGGGTTGATGTTCAGCTACATTTTTAAGGGTTTATGTATTTGCATGTGATTATATATTTCCTTGTATGAAATCTCAACTCATATAGCAGTGCATTTTGGCATTAGTCAAAGGTTTCATAATTATGAAGTCTGCTGGCAGTAACACTGTAGAATATTCTCATTAGCAAAATCCTCTCCAGGAACTCAATATCAAATATATCCAATATCCAATCCTTAATTTATTATTGCCATTTGGTGGCATTTTTATTATTTGAGAAATGAATTTTGTAAGTATTATGTATGTGCAGGATTCCAGGATTATTTTGTTTGTGAATGTCTCTTGAGATAGTCTTTTAAATATTCTTAGGTGTGCAGAATAATAAGAGAATAATATATGTGAGTGAATGTAAATCAAAGCATTTATTTCTTTTGGTTTAATTCAAGTCTTATATCTATATTTTTTAGTAATAACAAATCTTGCTGGATTAACTTTTGGAAATAACCATAGAATCATGTACTCTCAGAGTAAGGGAAAATCTCAGTGTTTAATAAATCTTGTAATTCTTTGAATTTTGGATGTCATAGTGTAGAAAATTTTCAACACATTAGCACCAAAAAAAAAAAAATGGAGATGGAAATACTATACCCAAACTTTTATTCCTAGCTTATATTTAAAAAAAACAAATTATCAGCTCTTAAGATTATCCTTTTGTAAAAGACCTGGCATTTTGCTACCAAAATATCAGAAAGATAGAATATCATATTCCAGGACAGTCATTTAAGTAGAAAAGTTTAGCCAAAAAAAAAGCTCTACCACTCAGTTTGTGGTGGGTTGACCTGTGGACCCACCAGGAAGTGGAATCCACTTTGCATATGTATCGTGTATGATGTAGGCATTCCTGCCACCCTCAAAATCCTTGGCTGATCCTCATAGGGTTTGAAACATGCTAGTGACAGAAAGTTCCCCAATTCATCACAAAGCACCTTGACCCACAGTAGACTACTCCAGTTGTTCAAAAATACAAAAACAAACTTGACATCTCTTTCTTAAAATTGAGCCAAACATCTAAATTTCTCTCACATACACTCCCAATTCTTACTGTAAGATACTGATTACCTTCAAATATGTAAAGATATCATCATGTCCCTTGTCCTGTAATTATTTTCTTCCCCATTTACTTAATCCACAGTCATCTTCTTGACAACACACTCAGTTATGTTAACTCATCTATTAAATTTTAGCCTATGGAAATGCACAGAATTCCACATATGTGTCTTAATTTTTGCAGGGAACACTGGAAACAGTAGTATCTCATGATGTGAACATTTTTCAGTTAATGCAGCTGACAATAATATTTATTTAATCTTCGTTTTTAAGTATAAGACCCAGATTGCAACTTTCTTTTAAACATATAGTCATGTAAAATCTGAGAAAGGATTTCTTATAAATATCTGTTCATCCAGAGCCACCCAACCATATTGTTTTATTAACCTAAATTCAGAATATTATGTTTATCCCTAATAAATTCATATTCTGAGTAGTGACCCTTTGTTCCATCATATTTGACATTGTTTTAAGTCTTTTTTTCAATCTGACATATTGATTGTTCTCCTAGTTTAGTGTCAGCAGAAAATTTGATAAGTGTGTTTCCATTCAAATAATTGATACAACATGTTGACCAGGACAGGGCAGCGTGTCACTAGAGAACTTCCACTAAAATGAGTTTAAACCTTTAATTTAATATTATTTGGATACTCTTGTTCAACCAGCTACAATTTAGCCTAATGTACTATAACTGAACTCCAATTTCACCCACGTGTTTTTAAAGTAGTGAGAACTTTGCTAATGCCTTGCTAAAATCAGGATGTATTGTTTCTACAACATCCACTCCTACCTGGTCTCTCTGCATCTTCTCGAGCCTTTCCTTAACCATTCATCATAAAACTGCCAGAGTAATCTTTTAAAAAATGTAAATTAGATCATTCTGCTTTCCTGCTTTATGCCTTCTACTGCACTTAGAATAAATCTCAAATTCATTACCATGGTCTCATTTTAATTTCTCAAAAATGACAAACTATTTTTTGCAGCAGGATCTTGATACTTTTGTTCCCTCTGCCTGATAAGCTTTTCTCATGATCTTTCATGCAGCTGACTTCTTATGATCCTCAGTTCTTAATTTAGGTATGACCTCCTAAGAGAACGTTTCCATATCGCCCTGTCTAACATAACGAGCAATTTCCATCATTTCTCCTCTCTGCTGACCTTCCCTCAGCCCTCTGCTTTTTACATAACAGTATACCAGAATTTTTTTTTGAGACAGTCTTGTCCTGTCACCCAGGGTGGAGTGCAGTGGCACAATCTCAGCTTACTGCAGCCTCTGCCTCCCGTGTTCAAGCTATTCTGCCTCAGCCTCCAAAGTAACTGGGATTATAGGCACACAACACCATGCCCAGCTAATTTTTTTGTATTTTTCATAGAGTCGGATTTCACCATGTTGGCCAGACTGGTTTCAAACTCCTGACTTCATGTGATCCACCCACCTCAGCCTCCCAACGTGGTGGGATTACAGGTGTGAGCCACTGTGCCTGGCTCACTTTATTGAATTTAATACAAACTAGAAAGATTGTATATTTACTTTTTTCTCATTTATTATTTTACTCCTATAACAGAATGTATATTTTAAGAGAACTAAGACTATCTTGTCCATCCTAATACTTCCTAGCCATTTATATGTTTGAATAAAGGAATTCCTGTATTACATACTCATTCAGTAACACAACAAAGAAAATATATGTATAAAGTTAATTTCAGGATTTTTTTTTTTTGATGGTGTCTTGCACTGTTGCCCCAGCTGGAGAGCAGTGGCACGATCTCAGCTCACTGCAACTTCCACCTGCCAGGTTCAAGCGGTTCTCCTGTCTCAGCCTTCTAAGTAGCTGAGATAACAGGCGCCCACCAACATGCCCAGCTAATTTTTCCTGTTTTTAGTAGAGTCAGGGTTTCACTCTGCTGGCCAGGCTGGTCTCGAACTCCTGACCTTGTGATCCACCCACCTCATCTTTCCAAGTGCTTACAGGCGTGAGCCATAGCGCCCAGCCAAAGATGTGTATTTTTATACACCCAAACCCACCCTTTCTATTTTAGTCATTTTCTGGAGTTTAGCTTTTTGATAATCAATTCATAGTTTCTAGATGTTTTTCCCTATCTTTTTTAAATTAAAAGAAAATCAGAAGACATTGCCTGTGTTAAAAATCATTTTCATTTGGTTAGGATAAAATTTTTTCTTCAGTGAATTAATGAAAGTGAGGCAAGACAGTGACATCTTTTGAATGTTACTAGTTTCTGTGACTCCACATATTGTCATAATCATTGAAGGAAAAAAAATGTTGCTTTTTGGCCACACTTACTGTACTACACCATGCAAGTGAGAATATTTCTTCCTTTTTGATCATACAATTTTGTGGCTGAAAAAGACATTAAAAGTCTTCTGGTCTGTATCTTTTTAAAAATGAAATTGAAGATTAGAGTAACTGAATTACTCATTTTTAATACACAGTTAATAAGTTAGAGAGCCAAGGAAAGGCAGTCTTAAGCTCTAAGTTTCATGCATGCTGGCTCTATTCTGCTTTAGATTCACCCTAATTTATAAGAAAAACAACCCTTCACATTTGTTTACCATGTCACAGTTTTCAAATCTCATTTATATACTTTCTATAATTTTATTCAGAAGATGGTCTTCTAAGGTAGACATTATTTCCATTGATTATTAAAAATGTTTTCATGCTGCTTTTGTACACAGAATTTGGTCATGTCTTGTATTAGCATTTAGCATTTTTAAGTTGAATTAACTCACATAAGCAAAATTTATAGCTAACTAGGGACGAGACTACTAAGAACTTACTCTTCCTCCCACTTTCTTCAGTCAATATATTGAGAATAGAAATCCTTCTTTGCTTAAATAAGGATAGCATAATTTAAGTCCCTCTTGATGAGATATGGACATTTTCATAAGCATACCTTATTGTAATATAATTGGGAACCCATTTTGTCTTTCAGTCGCTCTCCAGTATTAAGCCACCAGCAATCACTTTTCTCACTGTCACTTAGCCTACTACCATACCCCTTCTACCTTTTAGTCCTTCGATTTCAGCTAGGGCTATAAAATTTGGTTGACTAGATCCTTTGTACCTGGCACTTAATAAACTCGAAATAATGGTTGCTGAATGAATAGGAATTAGATGCCATGTGCGGAGCATAAGGAATGAGTTGAACCACTGAGTCAAGCACATTCTGACGGTCCTTTGGAGTGAACTGGAAG